TTGTCTTACTTCATTCCAGAATAGGAAACAAGTTTATGTCACTTTGGTTAAAAAAAAAAAAAAAATCACTTAAAATACAAAGCAATCCAGAAAGCTGACCCTACCAGTTCAGCTCACTGAAAAGACGTGTCCATATTACTGGCACACTACTCACGCACAAGCAGTATACACAAAGAGGCAAAGCGATGCAGCTGCAGAGGTTCTATCTTCCAGGGGGTGGTGAGAAAGGCCACATGGGTCCCGGTGCTCACATGCTCCCCTGACAAAGCACTCTGAGTATCCACACAAAGGAATAAAGAGTTGGAGTTACCAGTCATGCAAACTCACTCTCTCTCTAACTTAAAGAAGCTTTTTCAGACAGAAAGACCACCTCCTAAGTATATCACACCAAAAATACCTGATTGAGCATTCCAGGAGTATATGAAAACTATTCACAAACACTTTTTGGTCTCAAAGGGTTTTAGTCATGACTTCAAGATAAGATTTAGCTCACAGTTTTTCACATGCAGCTACTACCTCAGCCTTAAGATGGCTTGGTAGAATCTGGATCCATTTCAAACATAGTCTGACAAGTGCCACATGGTCAACCGAGGATGGCATAGGACATACACGTTGTGCACTGAGATACACAGTGGACCAAGCCTGTCATGATGAGCCTCTGAGGACAGACTACCACATTCCAAAACTACTGCTGCCTTATGGAAGTTGATTTAATAGTGGAGTATTTTTACCTTAAAAAATATTTATTCTGTGAAAGTCTATTTTCAGCACAGACATGGGTAAAATTAGAGGTTTAAATTGGTCCTTGAAAAATGACCAGTGTGATCCACAAAAAGACTATAATGAATCTGGATCAGACCTGAGTAGGTGAAATGCACATGCTCACTATGTGTTTGCGTGTCTTGTTGAAGTTAGGTTCTAATTTTGTAGAATGTATACTTCACATTTATCAAAATGATGCTGCAGTTTTCTGCCACAACTGAAGGCATCGAGGGTCCCTTGACAAATAATAATCTTAGCACTTAGTTACCAGGCAGCAAAGGGATACTGACTCAGCAGGAATTCTAAGAACCTACAGTGAAGTTCACCCAGGCAGTAGAAGCTGTGCTGGAGAGGGGAGGGCAGCAGCAAAGAACTGATGGACTCTCCTAATGCAGTTGTTCTTAGGCCCCCAACCAGGGGATGCCACATTTAAACCGCCTTCTTTTTCTTCACATCCTCCACAACTTAAATGCCCGTCCACTCGGAGGATACCTATTTAGATGAGCACTTTCCTAGGCCACGTTTGTACTTGTATTAAGAACAGAAAGGAATGTACCAACACCAAAGCTCTTGGAAGCATTTGCTCAACAATCAAGGTTTGTTTCTCAAAGTAATGGCATGGGAGAGGGTAGTGAGGAGGTGAGCAGCAGAGAGAGAAATTCATACTCGAAACGGTAACGGAATTGCATGGAATACAACAGGATGGATCTTTTAAATGTATACGTTAACTAAGTGTGTACTTTTAAAGATACCTTGATCCTTTAAATACAATTTTAGGCCATAGGTACAAACAATTTATGGTGATTAAGCTTTTGTGGGAGATGCAGAGAATGTAGGAGGTTGAGTGTGTGGGCATTTTGGCAGCAAAAAGAGTGAAAAAAAAACCCGTTGCAATTAGTGTTAAAAATTTTAAATAATATTAAATTCTTGGAATTGTTTAGAAAGTTTCATGTGCTCTTTAATTCTCAGAAGGTATTTGGTACTGAGGAGAAACTTTGGAAATGTACTTGAAGTCACATGGATTAACTACAGCGTAGTGCCCTTTGGCTTCAAATTGTTCTCCTACCCTAAGGTGACAGGCGTCAGTGGTAGTTGAGCCCCACTTGCCTGGGTTCCAGACCAGTAAGTGCAACTTAGAGAAACGGTTTCATGTTTGCAGGTATTTGAGTCTCTCCAGGATATTTCTCACTCATACGTGCAGGGGAAGTTTTGCAGCAGCCAGCTCCAATGGAGTCTTGAAGCCCTTTTAGTAATGGGGCTTTCGGTATTTGAACATTGTTGAAGGGGACTATGGAGTCCCATAGAAATGATGTTCACTTATAACAGGATTTAACCTGTAAGACACAGTATGTTTTTCCTCACTCTTTTTTGTTTGTTTTTAACGTATTCCTTAGCATGTTTATAAATACAACTTTTATCCTTCAGATCTTAAGCCTTCCTTTGGTCTCCTCAACAATGTAAGAGACTAATAAGGTGTTACCTTCCTAAAAATTATTTGGTGTCCACTCTTTTTTAAGAAAAATTCTCCAGCTTTGTGGTTGGAGGTAACTTTTGTGAGCGCTACTGCTCATCTTCTAAAACCTTTAAATAGAATACTTGTGTCAGTCAGTCATTTCACTTTTCTATACATAAGCCCCAGTATCTTTTCCAAACCAAAGGAATAGCAAAGTGAAGCTCTAATATTGATTGAGCTCAATACCGTTTCTGCATAATCGCCTTATTTGGGGGTAGGGGGCAGGTTGTAAGTGAGGAGGAAATAGGTTTGAGCTAAAAAGGTACACCAACAGCACTACAGTTTTACTCTGCTTATATTCTGTTCTAATATGATCAGAACAGTTTTTGAACATTCCTTTTTTTAGATAAATTTCACCCTTCCCAATAAAATTCTGAAATTTCAGGTGGAAAACAAAAATAAAGCCAGTGTTTCCAACCCTGAAAAAAAATAAAATAAAAATAAAAATTTTAAATAATATAATCTTCCAGCATTACCTTTTATGACAAAAAATAATTTTAAAACCAAAACCTCTTGGTGAAATTGGGAATAGAGAATATTCGGGGCGCCTGGGTGGCTTAGTCGGTTAAGCGTTCGACTTTCGCTTAGGTCATGATCTCGCGGTTCGTGGGTTCGGGCCCCGCGTCCCGCATCGGGCTCTGTGCTGACTGCCAGCTCAGAGCCTGGAGCCTGTTTCAGTCTGTGACTCCCTCTCTCTCTGACCCTCCCCTGCTCATGCTGTCTCTCTCTCTCTGTCTCTCTCCTAGAAATAAATAAAAACATTTAAAAAAAAAAAAAAAGGAATAGAGAATAGTCTTCCTTCCCAATGCTTTATAGCAGGAACATAGGTGTTCATTTACTGGAGCTCTGTGACAATCCCCTCCAGAAACTTCTCAATGAAACTCACACCTGGATGGGAGCTTCAGGACACAGAATGAATTAGGAAAGCCCCACATCAACTGAGATTTTGAATATAGAAAGTATATTGCCAAAATTCCTTGGCAATGACAGTTGGGCATCACGCTTCCCTGACTGCCAGAAAGTAGTTCAAATGAGTCATGTCTGCCATTGTGAAGTAAGCTCCTGACTTGGTCTTAGGGCCAATTTCAATAGCAATCGGTTTCTCAGGGAAGGGGTTTACAACTGTTTACAACAGTAAAACTCAGCTCTTAGCCTTCCACTTTACGAACCCTGATTTTGCTCTCCTTTAAAATAATACATATAGCAAGGTCCTTGTGAAAGCCACGTGGACTTCATACTAAGGTCCTAGACAGCTGTATGTGTGTATGGGATGGCGCTGCAAGAGAGGAAAGTTTTCCTTGCCTTCTTGCTTCATATTAGATTACACAAGTGAACTTAACAGCTCTACCACTGAGCATGGCCACGTTCGAGTCCAGGTTATAGAAATAGTGCACTATTATGCAAATAGGCTTCTGTTGCAAACAAATATGCTTCGATTGCCACTCCCCTTCACTGTCACTTCTGTAATTTTTGAAGTTCGTTGGCCCATTAAAATCCTATAAAACTTTCTTGTCTTTACTAAGCTGTGGCCTGCCTTCTAGTATGCCAAAGTAGAAATTTATTACCAATTAATGGATCTTAAGCTCAAGGTGAGAAATCACACTGATAAGCTTAAAACATCCCACAGGAATTCTGTAATTTTCACTTTCTAACTTAGTAATAATGCATATGACCTAGTTTCTTAGCCTGTAGACATTATCCAATGACAAATTTACCTATCAATATCCTTGCTCAATAGACTTGAAGGGGGGGGGGGGAACCCTTCAGCATAATGACCGAAAGGTGGGGAAAGTGACTCTACCTAATGAAACGGTCCTTCTACGTCTGCCTTCCTAACATCTTAACTAACAACTGTCAACAATATTGGATGTGCTAAGGATGCAAATCTCCTTCTGGTGTGCAGTGAGAAGAACTGGTGAGATTTGTTTGTTTGCTTGTTATTCCTATATGGTCTTTAGGGAATCTGAGAGAAAGAAAATACGGGTTTTTAAATTGTTGCCAGGGTCCTAACATGTTTCTCTAACTCGGAGCTCTAAAGAGCATTCTCTCAGTAACTTAAGCATCTTTAAAGTCTTGTAGAATGGGGATATGCTTTAGAATTATGAAGAACTAGACTGAAAAAGACTAGAGATAAACATGGTCTTTTCCTCAATCTTTGAACCATTGGGATATTGTTGAAATTAATTGTATTAGGTACAAGAATGCAGCTGAGGTGTGAACAGAAGGCACTGGTCGGGGAAGCAAGCCTCTATCCCGTGAGAAGAGGGGCTCTAACAAGAAAGATTCAACTTCTGCTCAATCTCGAGCATTGCTGATATGAAGTTTCAGAAAGTGGTGGTGATTTGTGTGTAATGGGGGGGGGGGCCTTTATTAGGAAAATAGGGGTGAACACAGTCCTTTGAGTGCTGCAGGTATTCCTGTCTTGGTTAAAATAGCTGTGACATCATGCCTTAACCAGATGCCTCTCAGGCTGTTGGTGCCCTCAACTCTTCAGAACGTTGGGCAGAAATAGTGGCAACAGTAACCCGGGGTTAGAAACATGGATTATTTCAATAAATTAAGAGGACTGTTCAAATTCAGTTCCTATGACATAATTATACTTATCAGACTGGAACTAGATTTAATGTCTTATAAAACTTGCAAGGGTTTCAAACACAGTTTTTAAATTTCTTTATAGTCAATGGTCTCCTCAGTTATTAATAACAATGAAAAACAGACGCATTTCCTGAACAGTAAACTGATCAGACCCATGAAGGTCTCCTGAGATCTCCTCTTGCCCACGCCCACAAGCAATTCCTTGGTTAGGTTATCATCCAGCCATACAAGTGAACTGCAAATTTGAACCCGTGGCACAAAAGTCAGTTGTAGTGAAATTACAGTCTGAGGTCCCAGCAGTAGCTTAATCTTGAGAAGAAATCCGAAACAAAAAGAGCCTACAAAGACAAGTAACAAATTACATGCAAATACCAGATGTTTATAGCTGGACAGTCCTTACAAATTTGAGATCACATATTTGCCACATAGTAACACAGGAAATCTCCCACAAATTGAATGCATGTATGAGCCACTGACATCAAAGATTTCCCTCAAATAATTATTAGGCAGTATAAATGAAGGTTAATCGACCATTTATAAATGCTGTTGGTAGGTGACGTGCCCCCCTCCCAGAGCTGCCTGCGTGTGGGGGGCATTAACAACCGCAGTTGGGCTGTGGTGGAGGAGGGGTTTCCTTGAGTCTTGTGTTCTGCTTTGCTGCAGTGATGGCCGGATCCGTCTCCAGACTCTCTGACATTTTGTCGCAGATAATATCCACAAGACGCTCAAATGTCTGCTTGACATTAATGTTATCCTTGGCACTTGTTTCAAAAAATTCAAACCCTGGAAGAAACAGAGGGAAACACAGCTTGGTCATTTTACGCTTCTGAAACTAAATGGGACTTGACTAGGGTTTTCACTGGTGATTGTGTGAGACAGGAAGAGGTGGGCCCAGGATGCAACTTGAACAAATGTTATCTTCTTGCTACCAATTCTTTTGTTTTTCCCTATTTTTTTTTTATGCTACCAGAACACCTGAATGAACACCAACAAACAAATCTCTTTGCAGAAGTTGGTAAGGGCAACATTGAAGATCCACCACACCAAATCCTTCCACCACCTCCCGGGCACCAGGTAGTTTCTCGCAAACTTTTCTGAGACGCATATTATTTGGCATACTTTTCTTGTCCCGTTTCAGATGCTACCAACCACCATCACAGTCTGCCCTGCTGAGGCCTCAGGAAAGAGGAGGCTTTTTGTAAAATTTCAGCATCTAACTGGTCACAAGGTGGCACCAAAGAGTCACTGGATTTACCTTAAATGTGCTTCCTTTCAGAAATTTTTGTGTCCTGTTTGCCCTTCATGGCTTTCTATACCAGTGTATGTATCTACGGGTGCTGATTTTCCTAGGGCTTCTGTCAGTATTCTTACTGACCTCGGGGAAAGGATACCTGATACAGTTCAAAAGAGATGCCAGAATTGTAAGGAGGTACAAAAAATGTGGTGGCATTTGGACACTGCTACCGACGTGTCACTATACCTGGGCAGAAGCAGCCAGAGTGGGCTGTTCTGTACACAATCTTATCACCCTATTGTTTGTCTTCACATTCCAGGGGCTCAGCTTGCCAGTTAGTTGCCATGACAACCTCCCCAGTCCATTCAGGGGACTTTGATTTAGGATGTATTGGGCTGGACACAAAAATGCTTTTCTAATCCATTCTGAATTTTATGCCCTATAAATCTTTCTGCTTACATCTGGCCCTATCTCAAAGGAGCCACATGGATTCAGAACGATGAAATCATTTGATTTCATCTCAGCTCCTGAGACCAAAGGAGAAAAAAAATGGACTAGTATTTTACATTCATGTCTAAACCCTTTGATAACCCAGGATACTTTTTTAAAGTAATAGGGAAAGATAAAAATTCTCTGGAGTTAAAACATCTAATTTAGTTATGATACTTGGGAGTTAGAGGACTATGTTTGAGCTTGAATTTCACCCCCTATTATGTGTTCTATTGTTAAAATACAATGTGCGTAATTGCAGGACTGGAATTAGAGGAACATGAGTAGGGCCAGTATGGATCTAAACAATGTAGAACCACTATTGCCAATATGTAGAACTATATGCATCCTACTGGGGATTTCTCCAAGGCTAAATTAAGGATGCTAAGATTCCAATGAATTTGGAGGAAAACAATTCCAAAATTTGGCACAAAGATTTCATGGACAGATTCAATTCTCTCATGCTAGTTTACAACTTGAAGTCACTAAAATGAACCTAAATCCCAAGAGCCAGAATGCTCTCAGGGGCTTGACCAGGAAAATGACACCATATTATAACAGTCTCTTATAGTGAGGGTGCCAGGGTATGGTTAGTGGTGGATGTATTATTATCAATCAGAAGATGGGAAATCTAGCCTCACTATCAAGTCATGGTTTTTGTCAGGTTACTTTTGTCATTTGCCTTAGTTAGCTACAGACCTGTCACGAGGCTCAAATGAGAAAATATATATAAAAGTGGCAAGCAAACTCAATCCTGCTATGATAATAGTATTAAACTACCATTTGAATGCTTACCATATGACCGGTATTATTCAAAGCGCTTGATATACTTGTACCGCATTTTGTCCATGAAGTAGGTGCTAGCATTGAAAAAAAATTCCTGGTAAGGAAACAGGCACAAAATTGTCTAGTTCTTTGCCCATTTATGTGCTCAGTTTATAATGGTAAAGCTGGCTTTGAACTATTAACCTGGATACTCTCCTGCTTCTCCAGAGAGCCTACAGAACTAAGCAACTATCTGGTTCCAGCTGAATTGTAAGTTCTATGATAAATTTTCACTATTTAGAAAATTAACTAGATTTAGACTCTGAAACAAATAGCATGATGATTCCAAGGTACTCTGATGCATTGTGCTACATAAGACTGATTCAGGTGGCCATCACAGGCATACCTCAGAGATGTGGTGGGTCCAGTTTCAGACCACCTTGGCAAAATGAAATCACAATAGAGCAAGCCAAATGAACTTTGTGGTTTTCCTGTGTCTATGTGTCAAAAATGTACATAATCATTCAAAAATACTTTAAAATTGCTAACCATCTGAGATTACAGTGAGTATCAATCTTTACCCTGGAGGAGGGGCTTGCCTTGATGTTGATGGATGCTGATGGTAAGGATGGCTGGCAATTTTCTAGGACAACAATGAAGTTTGCAGCAAGGATAGATTTTTACTTTCACTAACTGCATTGCTGTTGGATAACCTTTTATGCATAGAACTTATTTCAAGATTGGAACCCATTCTCTGAGTGTTGTTAGTTTTCGTGCCCAGATCTATCTGGGGAATCACTATCTATGGAAGGCATAACCTTACAATATACACGGCTTGAAAGTAGCAATGATTCTTTGATGTGGTGTAAGCAGGCATGAAAGCATTACATAGGTCAGTAGAACAGGATAGAGAGCTCAGAAACAAATTCAGGCATCTATGGCCAATTAACTGGTGATGGCAAACTGGCCAGCCTTATGTGAAAGAATGAATGTAAACTTTAAAAATCTGATCTCAAAAGCAAACTAGTGGGACTATTTCAAACTAAAAAGCTCCTGCACAGTGAAAGAGACCAACAAAATTAACACCCTCCTGAACTGTGAGAAAATATGTGCAAATCATAAATGTGACAAAGCATTATCTAAAATGTATAAACCACTCCTACAGCTCAGTAGTCAAAAAAGAAACCATCTGATTTAAAAAAGGGCAAGAGGATCTCAATAGATGTTTTTCTAAAGAAGACTTATAGATGGCAAACAGGCAAATTAAAAGGGGTGTTGGGCCCTACGAGTCATTAGAAAAATCCAAACCAAAGCCATGGTAAGCTATCACTTCTCACTATTCAAAATGGCTAACATGGCTCATATCAAAAAGTTCCGGTAGGTGAGATTTTCGAATGTTGGTCATTAAAGTCAGAGAAGGGACTGCTTATGCATTGTTGGTATGAATCTGATACAGCCACTCTGGAAAACAGTACAGAAGTTCCTCCAAAAATGGTTCCCCCCCCATTAAGGGATCATCAAAATGTAGTATATGCATACAGTGGGTTACCATTCAAGCATAGAACGTTTTTTTCTTGAAAACATTATGCTAGATAAGTCATACATAAAGGACTACTCTTATATGATTCCATTTAAATGAAATGTGCAAAACTGGCAAATCTGTAGAGACAGAAAGTAGAATAGTGGTGACCTAGGGCTGGCAGTGGCAAGTTGAGGAAATGGAGAATGAATGCTAATGGGTGTGGGTGATGAAAATATTGCAGTTTGATTAAAGTTGTACAACTCCGAATACACTAGACACTCTAAATGGGTGACTGCACGATATGTGCATTACATTTCAATTATGCTATTATACAGAGTTTTAACATCTGATTTGTCTAAAAATGAATGAAAAGGTATGTTTGCCAGAAGAGATCTCTAAAGAAATGATTCCTCATGCCCACCACTCTGGGTCCCAGAGAAATATTCTTTTCTAGGTAACAATGTATTCCTACATGTCAAAGGCTATGCCATTTGTTTTCAGAAGATGTTCTGGGAAACTGAGTCGTCTTCTCCACCTCTAAGAGAATCACAACCACCATATGGAGGATTTGGATGGTCTTTAACTTAATTTTGAAAGAATAATCAGAATTGCTATCATTTCTATAGATGAGGAGCAGCTTCTAAAATGATAATGCAATAAATCATTTTCATCTCATTATTAAAAAATCTATGATTTGTGCTTAGTTTCCTATTCTCAAATTCCTAATAAGACCTTTCAATTCCAGTTCTAATTGCAGTTCTGTGGAACTAGATGAACCAGAGTGGCAAAAAAGGTCATTCTGCTGCCAGCTGGGTGACATTTGGGCCAAAACTCTGGATTTCTGAGCAGAATCTGGTAAGTGAGCTTTCCAGATAGAATTCAGGAGAAGCATTCAATAAAAATGTGGATACACTTGCCTCAAGAAGCGTCGGGGAAAGTCTTCCAAAGCTGGGGAGAACAGGAGCTAACCCAAAGGTACATACTGCTACAGTAAGTAGTCCGATATTCTAGGCTTTGAGTGCCTATCATTAGTCAGACCTGACCAGATGGTAGCTTTATCACGGTGGAGATAGAGAAGTTTTGTTCCTGCCTTTCCTACTCCAGACTTGAGCTTAACATCTTCATATGAGACAGAAGCTTGGCTTTTGCAGTACAAAGGATAGTGCCACAACTACAGCAGCCCATGATACTCTTTCTTTCATTCTTTTTGTGAAGACAATCTACTTTATTGACTAACTCTAGTGCAATCCCTTCCTAGAATGCACCATTGTTAGTACGGTTGATAAGCCTGTCAACTCCCCCTCTAGTGAAGAGACCTGATCCAAGGCACTGCCAAGTTTCCTCTAGAGATGGCTCTGTGTTACATTTGGCCACCAAACTGGTAAAAATTAGTTTGACCCAACCTTTAAAATTCTTATCTCTAGAGTGTCATCACGAAGATGGCAGCATAGTTCATTCTTACTTTGCTCCCCCTCACGAGGAGAACAACTAACAATTATTCATGGACAGGACACCTTTGGAGACTCCTAAAAGAAAGTGAAGAGGATGAAGCAACTCTGTGAACCAAGGAGACCAAGACACACAGCTAGAGAGAGAAGAGGAGCAGCTGCACATGGTCACAGGAACGTGTTCCCCTTCCCCTTCATAATCTCCCTGAAACCAGAGTTCTTCCAGGGGGGAAAAAGAGAGCCCAGAAAAAGCCTTCAGCTCTCCCAGTCAGTGTGCATAGCTTCTTGGAAGCCTCCACTCCAGTTCTGCCCCATAGGAATTTTG